ACCCCAACCCTCCTCCCCCCATAAACATGAAAGCCTTGGACATGTGTTCACCCCGTGTATGCATTAAACCTTGGCATGAAGCACACGCACTTTCCCCCCTCTCTCTCACCAATTGCGACCACCCTCGCCCGCCAACACCATGCTCTCGTAAAAACCCGCGTTGGGGTTGCAGAAGAGCACGCACCCCGTGCTCCTCCGCTCGTCCCCCTCCCCGACGCCATCGTCACTGCCGCCGCTGCTGCCGCTGCTGCGGCCGGCCCCTTTCCTTCCGCCGTACGCCTTGCAGTAGCAACAGTCTAGGAGGGTGCCGTCCGACATTGCCAGCCAGATCTGCATTTTTTTTTTGTCGTGGGTTGTTGCTGCTGCTAACACTACAATACAATAAAAGTAGGTCAAACGTATGCGAAGCTAAAGTCGTTGACCCTTACATCATCAGTAGTATGCACAGAAAACGTGTAGGTGTAGCCTGGATGGGGTTTCCTACGGAGAAGCCGTGTGGGGGCAGACTAAAAGCCACAGTCATCCATGTCAATCCCAACCTCTCGCCCCTCTTCTCTTCCGCTCTTTGCTTCAGGAACACCAACACAAATGACAACAAAAAAATATGACAACCACAAAAACAGTAGAACTGCTGATCTAAGTGCTATCGCCCTTTTACCGTCGTCCCCCCCTTCGCCGAATGAATTGATCCTCTTTCCAACGGCTTGCTAGCCTTCCGAGCCACTCTCGACGAAAAAGTTCGCGTTCAAAACAAGCAGCACAAGGGCATGGAGGCTTACGCCGTGCAACCCCCCCCACCCCCACGCCCCTGCCCCACCCTACCTGCCGAGCGTTGCTCCTGATGAGCATCTCCTCGCGCATGAGCCCGAACCCCGCCGCCCCCTCGTACGGGTACCTAGCCCGCCACCAGCTCTTCACGATTCCCCCCGGGAACCTAGACTCGCCGGTGTTCCCAGCTGCGGCTTCCCCCGCGCCCCCCCCCCCACGCTCCTCAGTGGGAAAGGCCCCCCCCCCCCCCCCAAAAAT